GTTTTCGCGGTGCCCATTTTGTCAGTGGCTCTGTGTTTAACTCCAGGGGCGGTCGACGTGACTCAATTTATAAAATATTGTGACTCAATTTTGCGTTGTTTTAGTTATAAAACCCGGTCGTTTTGTAATAATTCTGCAATAGTAGTGTAAAATACTTTCAGAACGTGGATTGACAGGGTAAGTTATCAAAATTATTGCTTTTTTATCTCGATTTTGTTTTAGTTTTCTCAGTACATATCTAAGTGCCTAACAAGGTCCACTTGTTGGGGGTACGCACACCTTATTAGGGGTACGAAGTTTTAAAATAGACATTTTTTAATTTATATACGCTTGTTTTGATTACATTTTAAACAGAAACATATATAATAAGGATAAGTAAATACACACTGTGAATATATGTGCATATTTATCTTTTAATCTTTAGCTGCAATGGTTGCCATGTTTGTTATTTTCAAACACTTAATAAGGTCCAATGACTAAGACTGAATAAATGACTGATTAGTAACATTTTGTGATTTTCTTTACTAGAGTGAATAAAAATCAGCATAAAACTACAATTTGTTTCAATTATAACTAGAAAATAGATTAATTATAACTCGTATACATTTCCTAAGACTTTATAAGGGCCACGACACTAATTTATATAAATTTCCGTTTCATTATTCGAAAGCTACGAACTTAATAGTAGTTTAAAGCCACTGATTTCTAAAGATGTAATTTTTCTGGTATATAACGCCTAAAACCTTGCAGTTCAATTATGGACCTTATTTAGAGCCCTAGTGCCCAATAAGGACCATAGACCAGCTTTTAAAGAACTTTTTTTGTAAGTAATTGGCCATTGGTGCTTTGTTTTTGTACAATATTTTCTCTTCAAATAAAAACAATTTACTTGATCATGATGTCTTACAAATTAACACACTTCCCTAAATTGATTTATAAGGATTTCCAAAAACCCGGCCCTTATTAGATGCAATTACCTTATGTGTGGATTTAAATTAGTGTTCTTTATTGAGAGATTAGAATAATCAACTTTCAAAAGTTTTAGTTTATGGAACCATTAAAAATAAGATATTATTTGCATTTTTTTCAACACTACATTCGTGCTAAGGATAATTCAATAGGACAGTAATAAACATTGGACGGTTGTCGCCACATGTCAAACTGGTGACGTCAGGTCGCGCTTGGGCGCCAGATGTGGTAGCTGTGTAATATTAGGCTGAGTATTTGCCTTTATTTTTTATGAGACCTATCTGTTTTTCAGTTATTAACTTTTACAATTTGTTTAAATTGGTACGAAACAATATTGCTTCTTGCATCTGTCTTTAATAGGTTTGAAGTAAGCTATAAATAAAAATTAATATCTCAAGATTTTAAAGATCTACGTCCCAAAACATTATCCATTAAAATAAATAATAACAGTCACCCTAGTCTCGTACCAGATGCGGTACGCGGTATATAACATAATAGCTGTAATAACGCGAGCTGTGACGGCTGTATGACATCTGTATCTTTGCCGACACGAATAAAAAAAGTAAAGGCTGACTCTGACTCCTGTGAGGAGTAATAAAAGTTGTTCGAAAATTGGAACAAATAAATTTTAAGAGAGCTGTTTTACTCAAAGTTACGTTACGAACTTAAGAATTTAGATTTAATTTAGAGGTTGTACATACAGTTCCTGTTGTCTTTTTAATTAAATACCGATTTCAATTAGTGATAAATATACATATATATAGAAAAAAACAATTATAGCTTTTCATACTTTTTTATTTATTATGGCAAATTTTATTTTAAGGCAAAAATAATATATCAAACGCTGTTACCCAATATATTTTTATACGTGGTAGATACAATTTATTTTTATACGTGGTAGAACCATGCTGCAATTATATCAGTAGTATAGTTGTAGCATGAATGGGTCGGCTCGACCGGGGAAGGACCACGCTCTCACAGAATAACAGTGTAAAATAGTAGCTTAATGCTGCTTTGTTTCGTATGGTGAGTGTAGAGAACCGGAGACACTTTTTACTGGAAACGAGGAATTCCACCTTAGTATGATGTAGATGTCTAGCATCAACCACTTACCATCAAGTAGACTGTGTGCTCGTTTGTCACCCTATCCAAAAAAAAAAATTACACTACACGACACATAATCACCTAATCGGCTTTTAGGCTAGAGGGCAACAACATTGTTAAAATTCCAAATTTGTCATATAAACGCTATCAGATTTAGATTTGACATGGACGATTATCGGTTACTTGCTATTTGTGTTAAGTGCATTTGCTCCGGGCAAAGGTTTGATACTGGATAATATCCGTTGATATTGTTTGGGGTATTACTAGATTAGACCGATTGCGTTTTTAATCAATGCGTGTTTGCAGGTGATTATTTTGTAAAATACAAGAGATTTTATGTACATAAAATCGATTAATATAAAGAATTTCTTGTTTTTGAACTGCATTGTTCTGACATTATGTATATATGAAAAGGTATCATCATCATCATTGCCTTTAACAAGTTACTGCTGTAAGGACTTCCCGAAAAATGCCACTAAATACAGTTCAAAGCCACCTCACTTATCGACTTTTTGTACGTCTAACCAGTTCTCTCCATCCAGATCGTCGTACACTCCACTTATCGTACGATGCCGCTTAGTAATCTTTTTTGCGCATCTGGCCGACCCTTTGCAACTACAGCTTACTGATCCGTTGGCATATTTCGGTTTTCTAGTAATAGATTCATCGCGCAAAGAAAATTCCTCTCCATAGCTCGTTGAGCGGTTTTACCATAGCTGAACATCCTCGTAAGACCAGAAGACATTCTTTGTCATTTAAAACAATAATTTACAAATGCCAATATGTTACCATATGATACAGATATTTACTAATACGTTAGAAAATAAATTAGTCTTTGAATCGACCCCCGCCTCGCAACATGTGAACAAACAAAATATGTGTTCAGTATACATGACATCTGTATAAATCCCTATTTACATTGCGATAAAGGCTATAATAGTTTGTTGCGACTGCAGCAGTTCCATTTGTAATGAGGTACACTTGTACGCTCAGTGGGGTTTTCACCCTTGCAACATGTGCTTGAGTAAATATGTTATTTTTTGAACCCCTTTTGTTTTAAGGCCTACGAGTCGCTAACAAATTAGTACTGATTGATTTTCTGGTGACATGTTTCTCAATTTTAGAGTTCGCGTATTAATATTACCGAAAAAAATACGCAATGAAATTACCTTTATACAAAGAGGATAGGTTTGTTTTAATTTTAAGTAGTAGGATGTACTCGCATGGTCTAATAGATTACCGGTCTTAACATAATGGAGAAAAGGCTAAGATAAAAGAAAATTTGGAAAAACGAAGAAACCATGTAGGTACTTAAACATTGCCAAGATAAAAAGAAAAATGAAAAGATCACAGACTATTAGGGGGTAGTCTGTGGAAAAGATATATTGACAACTAAATAAAAAGGCAATATTTATACAAAATTATATAATGATAATGATTATACTAAGTATAATATTAAAATAAGAAGCGCATCGGTGTAGTCAAAGGGTCAAAACTCCAAAAAAAAAGTATAAGCCATAATTTTATTTATCACTGGCAACCAAACACGGAATCTAAAATCGGAATTCAAGTCCGACGTTTAAAACTGAAACTTCCGGCTTTCAAGCACTTTGATATTAAACAACTGCATTACTTGGTATTCAAACGGTCAAACGCACTGTTATTTTAAATCAAAATTAAAAAAAATAGATATTAAGAAAATCCATTTCACCTTTTTTTCCTTATTTTCGTCCTTACTAAGTAAAAAGGACTTGAATCTACGTACTGTAGGTACACATTAGCGTCAAAAACTATGAGCTGTAATAAAATTTCATATAGGTACCTACCCATATAATAAAACCCAAACTTATAGTTTTTGGTTTTTAATTTCCTTTAGAAGTATTAATTTATAAATAACATGTTTAATAAATAATTAGTTAACAATTATAAAAGTGAGAATTAAAAAAATATGAATAAAAATAAAAAGCAATTTTGTGCTAATCACCCGAAATCGTAAATTATTCGTTTTTTGTTTTCCTCTTAACACGTATTTATTAACTTGACTACATATGTATGCAATTCATATTAATATTAACTATTAATTCGCCGTGTAGCGGCGGCGAGAATCCACTACCCCATGTGATGAGTGTCGCAAGAAGCGACAAAGGTATTCTAAAACAGCTGATGGGCAACAGTATGCCTATTTCTGATGACAACTCAACAGAATTAAAAAAAAAAACTGTGGTTGCGCCCACCTGTCAAATGTGCCAACAATGCCAAATATGAGGAGGCTATCTACGCAGGGAGGCTTATGTTAGGGTTATGTTCTGCATTGGACTTCGATATGCTGTAATGCTGCATGTTAAAAAGTCGACGAAAATGTGGCTTTATGATCAGAATCATCCAACAGTTTATTCAAAAAGACATTTTGAAGATTGTCTCAGTGTCATGTATCAATAACGTATCATATCTTATTTCTGTGTCTGTATATTACGTACACTTACATTTCTGTTCTCTATGGTTTTTTCCTCATTTGTTATCGGTTTTTGAAAGTGTATTTTAAGGCCTATTGCCTATTGGCTTCTGTAGGATGGTTTCGCAAATAAAATTAGTGCATGCTAATTTATAAATATATATTATAATGTCTCATGGTCTATGTTGTGTCTATGTCTTACTTCCGATTATTCGGACATTGTAGTCGTGGTCGAAAATTGACCAAGGGCCTAGGGGGCATCGTCATAATTATCAAAAACTGTTATTTACATAATTTTTATTAATACTTTTTACTTACACTGTTTTAAGCAAATTAATACAGAGTATAATCTTTGTGATAAAAAAACTGACAGAAATGAAAGAATTATCACTATTATCATCTATAAAGGTCTCACAGTAAAACATTTAATGTCTTTGTTATTTGTTAAACTTTAATAAAATACTTTTTAACAAACCTTTCACATCAGTTGACGTTGTCTCTCCTGAATCTCCTGAAGCGAAAGCCTTTGACATCTTCATTTATTTTGTAAAACGTTCAAATCCAGATAATAACTTAAAATAACAATCCTCTGAACTTAACAATTCTTCAATACACACTTGTAAAAGAAAACATGTTATTGGCACATAATCAAAACACAGTTTTTTTTTCTAAGTAAAAACAAACACAAAAATGTCATTACACATCGTACCTAATATTCGTTTCACGTGCGTACGTAACTCTCCGAATACGCGTTGAATGTACGCACATCCCTTCTCTTTAACAGTCCGAGCTAAACTGAGTGACTGAATGCGAGTGAACAACAAAACTGGATACAAGTTGTTGATTCGTATTCGTAGTGCCTGGGTAAAAAAGCGCGGCGCCAGCCCGGTCTCGCCCTTAGAGATGCGCTTGATACCGTTTTAATTGTTGTTAAATACTTATCTTCGATTAATCATTTTAACAAAATTGTCCCGTACGATTATGACGTGTACGATTATTTAATATGTCATAATAAGAAATAAAAATTATAAATATTTACATCGAATTCAGCTTCATTATGTAATATATAAGCATGTTTCATACGCCGCACTTTTTATAGGATAGAACCTATAAAAGTAAATTAACCCCTCTCAAATGGTTAAAAATACAATATTTCATGTTAAAAGCGTGCGTAACATTTACATTTCACTGATGTAATATATATGACGAGCAATGCGTAAACTGTTGACTAACATTAAATCATTCATTAAGTTTATTTACTATGACGTCTAAAACGACGTGACTGATAAAAATAGATCAATTTTAACTTACGAAGAAAATTTTATCGATGATTCGCATCACTGTTGCACCAGCCGGTCGCATTCTCTGGTCGGCGGGGACGGCGGCTCGTGAGGATCGCTCGACGCCGTGCCACTCGTCGCATCTGAACATTTGTTCCAACTTGCAGGCTATTTCCACGTCCACATGTGCGCATACGTGACTCACGCACGCATACGCGATAATTTTAGGTAACGTAGGTACATATATTATTCGTTCGCACCGTGTTTTAAAAAGGATTATGTCTTTAAATCTGAAGTAGACTCGAGTTATTGACACATTGATAGTGACATAATATGTTAATTGGTATAAGGGCCAATTCAATATTTAAGTAACTTTTTTACAGGATAAAATAAAACTGGAACAAATAGATATTCAGAGATTAAATAAAACTGTAATCTATGTAGAATATGTATTTGTATATTTTTTAAATAATAAATTGAACTTTAGATGTAGTTGTTTAATGTTTATGCAAGTCATAATGACAGGCCGATGTCTGTCCATAGCTAAGGTTGTGCTCTATCATTTACATACTATTTTATCGGCGTCAGTAAAGATAAGTAAAGATATAAATTAATCCTTTGAGTCCAAGGTTCTCGCCTAAAAGGTAGGCGGTACTGACGCGTCTTCTTTTAAGGCAGAACATGCCTTTTTTGTTTGCTCCTGTTGCGATTTTCTTCAAAACCGTGTGGCTTGCGGCCTGTCTCGGTGGCGGCGTCCTCTTTATCATCTCTTAACGCGTCCAGATTTGGCAACATCGATACGAAATCCTGTTCCGTCGGCTTTTTGCTTAAACATTTCCTCAGTTTCGAGGAACGACTCACAAAAAAGCGAAACTTCGCCTCCAGCCGTTTATACAGGTTTTGTAATGAATTTTTATGAAGCCCAAACAGGAGTTACAGTAATTCAAGTCATGAGCGTAACAAACTGCATGTTTCAACATTTCTATAAATATCTTGCTTTGAACATTTATACCAAAAAATAATAAACACTGTTCTCGCCTTATCTAAATATGAACTTCATCGCAAACTGAACTTACAATACGTGTCATTTCCAAAGATAGTTATACGATATTTATACAATAATTTGAGTAGCGGACTCAATGCACAAGTGTGAAGGGATAACTCCCGAACAAACAGAATATGCCTGAGATAGTAAATATTCGGGCCAGTATAAACCTGCCCTGTGTAGGCGTCAAACGGTCAGGTAAGGCTTTTGACACCTAGCTATGACCGCGAGAGAACGGCGTGAATATCATCGCGTTTTGTTTAGCATCCGTTTTTTGGCTATTTGATCAGGTCTCTATAGCATTTTCAACCTAACAAGTGTGACAGTGAATACAGTATTTAAATTAGCATTAGCAGTATAACAAAAGTAAGAAGTAGAATTGATAATTATTTGATACGATTAAAGGAAATGAAACACGAAATGGGCAACAGCTTAGTAACAAAAAACTGAGGTTGCCAACCAGTATGCTGACCATGGTAACTATGGAAAAATATCCCCCCTATGAGCATCGAACTATATTACTAGCATAAGTAATACTTCAATGCCTATGAGGCCCTATATGGAGAGGGCTATATAAACTCTTTATAGGTTGTATGTATAAATGAGTGAATTATGTAGTTTTGTGATATAATTTATGAAAGCCCAATTATATATTTACAAAAAAAAAATTAATTTATATTTACATTTTATAATTTCAAAAATCACATAAACGTCATATTTTTAAAAAGATAACCAACACCCATTAACGATCGTTTACATTATTAAGTAATAGATAATAATATACATACATACTTAATTATTTTCGTAAAGTTTGTTTATTATATTCATGAAAAGAATTTGAAGTGTAAAACTTTTGAGCCTTAAGAATGCCAGACATCGATTGGTGCCAGACGTAAAAACGATGCTTCAATTAAGAAGATAAATAAAAAAATAAATGTTGTTACTCAACGACCTGTCAATCAGCAAGGCTCCGGATTTAATTGACTTGCTGATACAACACTAAACATTCGATACGTTAAAAGAACTTGATAGTAATACTGACCACCTGGCAGGGCAGTGACAAATGGCGCCAAATATAAACCATACCAAATATAATATATATGTATTAACAAAAATTTGGACAAATACTTATTGGGAACTTCTTTTCTCGTACAAAAAAAAAATATTAATTGGATCTAATTCAAACAGGTATAATTTTAACTTTTTAATGATATTGCAAAAAAATATTCAAAACTGTATCCACTATCCATAGAAAACTTATTACGCTTCCTTAAATTTATTCTCTTTTACTTGGCGTTGGGAATTCAAAATCAAGAAATATATTCTATAGAGTAAAAAAGCTTTTAACCAACTCTAAACCTTAAGTTTTCATACTTAGAATAAAATTTAAAATGTACAGACAAATCTCAGCTGATATTAAGGAGTCGGTTTAAATTTAAACTCTAAAATGTAACCAGTATAGTTCTTTTTGTATAGAATAAAAAAGCACGGTCGGCAGGATAGTAGGCGCCGTGGTTGCCGCCGTGGCGCCGGCTGGCCGCCGACACCTCGTGTATTATGAACTAGCCCCGTGACCTGGCGTCGATCAACTAGTATTTGACTCAGCAAATGAACTACAATACCAGTAACTCATTTCTAAGCGAATACGGAATTGTTTAACATTCATGGTGTAACGCGCAGATCCAATGTATACCTACCTATGATGACTATACGATTATCTTATAAGATAAAAAACTGCAGTTAGCGTTATTAAAATCTTTATATTGTAGTTTATACAGTGTTGTAATGATACAGTGTCATTTTCATTATATATTAAATAAATAAACAAAATGTAAATTATGTTTTACATATTCGTGTTTGGTTTCTTGAAATTTCATTGCATAATATACGTAAGCTTTGGCGCATTATATGCTTGTGGGACTATAAAAAGTTCTTGCTAAGGTAATAATTGTAGCTTCAGATCATTCGATAGTTCTCTTCCTGGTCAAAATTCGCCCAAGAAGATATTGTTAAGAAATGCTTTATGAATACGTATCAACATGACAAAAATACACACATTTGGTAGGTACATACAGTGTAAACAATAACTAACTGTCACAAATACAAAACGTTTCTTCCATTTGTTTCGGCTCTTCAACTCTACTGACCCTACATTCTTTAGGTTGCAGCAAAACAAAAATGGACCCTTAGAAAGGAACAGTCTTATCTCCTTTTTGCAGACTCCAAGCGAAAATATCGATAATTTATGCAAGCATCCCTAACAAACAAGAATGCAGTGAAATAACATTTCATACGATATCCGTCTCTAAAGCTTTGGAATATGACACGTTATCTGTTGTTCATATGCTTTAAATAAAAGCTTTGATTGAAACAGGTGTTCGCGGCAATGGTCGTCGCAGCTAAATTTAACGGAATACAGACTTTATAATAATACGTATACAGTAGAATTTTCGGTATCAGTTACATATTTTATAAGGCATTTTGGACGTACATTCATTACATTGCTCCCAGATGTGCGTTTCTGAGTAGCTGAGTACGCAGAGGCGTATCAGTGGCGCGGAGAAGCAGTAAATAGGGACGCTGTTGGCAATTAACGGAGCTTTTAAAATCAACTTCTCTCCACTATTTAGCAAGTAACGATAGCTTGGATCGGATTACTTATACGGATAAACGTCTTGTCACACGCTTTTATATGAACTGAATTAATGAAATGGTGTGGGCTTCGCGTGATCGCTGCTAACTAGGATAATCGTATTGCTATCCTGTTATCAATTTTTCACTTAGAGTATAGTATATGTATAAGTATATGCTCTAAGATTTTACGTTTAAATTTTAAATAGTGAAATAAATAAATGACTTAACACAGTATATTAAAAAAAATAATGGGGATACCAAATTGCGTAATATTCAATTCTTAACAAATTACGACATAAGGATTAGAGATAGACATATGATAAAAATAATGAAACTAATAAAGAAATGTAAAAGAAAAGCAGTAAAATGCAAAAATTGTGCGTATATTGGCACCCCATCCTCACTGATAAGGTGAAAGTAAAATTGCAGCCCCTTTAAATTCTCATAGGGTTAAAAAGTAACTCGTACTTTTTAATTTAGTACTTTGTGTGAGAACGAATGTATAATTTATATAAAAAATTATAGCACCAGGGTAGTAATGGTGCTGAAGTTGCTCGGAGGCTAAGCGCACGTC